CTCCGGAAGTGCAGCCCAAGAAGAATTCAGAGCCAGCAAGAGGTGGTTCCAAAATTCCCAGAAGAGAAGTGGCATCCACTGCGTTACAAGACATGGGGAGGCTGCAAGTTCTGACCATGATGCTGCAGAAGGTAGAGTTTGCTGAATTCATCAAGGAAGAAGACTACCTCCCCAAGCAAGTCTTCAATTGTGATGAGACAGGGCTGTTCTGAAAGAAGATGCCCAGGAGAACCTACATCACCCAGGAGGAAGAGAAACTGCCAGGCCACAAACCCATGAAGGACAGACTGAGCCTTTTGTTCTGCGCCAATGCCACTGGCGATCTGAAGATCAAGCCTCTACTGATCTACCACTCCCAGACTCCTCGACCATTCCAGTGAGAGAAAGTCAACAAGGCCACACTGCCTGTCATGTGGAGGGCCAACGCAAGAGCTTGGATGACAAGGCAGCTATTTATGGAATGAGATATCTTTCAGACAACCAGCTTCCTGAGAGGTGCCTTCTGCTGATGGACAACGCCCTGGCAGACCCCCCATTCTTGGTGGATGATATTGATGAGGATTGCATCAAGCTCAAGTTCCTCCCCCCGAACACAACACCTCTTCTGCAGCACATGAACCAGCAAGTGATCAGCAACTTCAGGAAGCAGTACACAAAGGCCCTCTTCACCATGTGCTTCAATATCATCGAGGAGACGTCCCTGACCCTAAAAGAGTTTTGGAAGACACATTTCAATGTCCTCCACAGCGTCAGACTCATCAACAAGGCCTGGCAGGATGTCACAGCCAGGACCTTGAACTCAGCCTGGAAGAAAATCTGGTCAGAATGTGTCACAGACAGTGCCCCTGAGGGGACTGATTCACAAGTAGTGAAGGACATTGTCTCCATGGGTGAAGGCATGGGTCTGGATGTTGACGAAGAGGATGTAGAGGAGCTGATGACGGAAGAACTTGCAGAACTGCAAAGTGAGCAGCACAAGGCTCTTGTAGAGGAGCTTCCACTGAGGAAGAGGCACCGCATGTTAGCAGCGAGGAGATCAAATCCATCTGCCAGATGTGGACCAAGTGCCAGGACTTTTTTGAGAGGCACCATCCAAACAGGACTGTGACAGGAAGAGTTTTGGACACGGTGAATGACAATGTGGTCAGTCACTTCAGGAAGATTCTTCAGCACAGGACAAAACAGACAATATTGGACAGATTCATCACCAGGATGGAGCCTGCAGTGAAGAGACAGTGACAGGGTCCCCCTGCAGAAGATGACCCAGAGGAGGGGACCTTTACCTCGCAGTGATGTCCTCCAGAAGACAACGAAAGCTAAGTCGCCTCTCTTTTGTTTTAAAAGGTGTTGGTGGCTGGGTGAGTTGCTTTAAAAGTTGCTTTGTTCCTGTTAAAATGTGTTTTGTTTAAAAGTTGCTGTTTTTAAAAATGTTCTTAAAATGTGTTTTTTTTTAATGTGTTTTATCCTCCAAAAACTCCCCCCTTCTCTCTCTGTCTTCTCTCTTTTTGTGCTTCAATGCACAAAGCTTTGTCTGAGGGGTCTGAGTGCCCCAGTGATGACCTTCCTTCTTTTCTTTCTTTCTTTCTTTCTTTCTTTCTTTCTTTCTTTCTTTCTTTCTTTCTTTCTTTCTTTTTCTTTCTTTCTTTCTTTCTTTCTTTCTTTCTTTCTTTCTTCTTTTCCCCATTATTCCCTCCCTCCCTCCTTTCCTTCCTTTGGCTTGGCTTGGTTGAAAAAGAGCTTTAAAATGCATTTCAGAGTCATGTCTGTCTTTGTGTTGAAAAATTCTGTGGAGTAAGGCTGGCTTTCAAACAGGGTTAAAGTGCATTTAAGAGTCATGTCTCTGTGTTTAAACATGCTTTAAAATGGCTTGGTTGAAAAAAAAAGATTTAAAAAGTGCTTTTAAAACTATTCCCTGTCTCCCCGCTCCTTTCCTGAACTTTTCTTGACCTCAGTTCACCTTAGGTCAAAAGAAGAAAAAAGAAAAAATATCTCCCCCTAGTGGTAGAGTGCAGATTAGCAGACTTTCCATTAGTTCTTTTAAGCAAAAACACCAGATAGATTACAGTGGTGCCCCGCGTAGCGATGTTAATCCGTTCCAGGATTAACGTCGCTATCTGGAAACATCGCTAAACGGAACAAAAAACCCCATAGGAACGCATTAAACCCTGTTTAATGCGTTCCTATGGGGCAAAAA